GTAATCCAATCATTTCATTAATTGAAATTTTACATTTTCGATGCTTCATTAACTAACCACATAAGTATTTAAATTTCCACTTTACACTTTAAATGGTTTGGGTTTGTCTATTTAATAACCGTCGACGAAATTAGATATCATACCACCAAAGAGTCAAAATCCAGTCAAAAACTCGGACTCACTTCGCCGATTTTCTACATAAGCGAATCAGACAAGCTGAAATTTCCAGACAATCCCAGTTCGTGATTCCTTCAAAGTCGCCGGAAAAAATCTAAGCTTTTCGAAGACCCAGATCGTCGAATCGATTGTTAATGGCGAACCACGCGGCGGCGTTGAAGGTCGGACTAGCTTTGCTGGGGCTTAGCATGGTGGGTTACATACTTGTTCCGCCTCTTTACTGGCATTTCACTGAGGCTTTAGCCGTCGTGAGCGATTCCTCCGCCGTTTCAGCCTCTTCGTGTCCTCTATGTGTCTGCGATTGCTCTTCTCAGCCTCTTCTCACGATTCCTAAAGGTAACACAAGTTGCAGTTTTTACTTCGTAATATTATGTGTCTGTGATTAGATCTGTGGGGAAAGTTTGTTCCTTTTTTGTAGAGGAATTTAGGAATTTAGTTACTTCTTCTGTGTGTGTATAGATGATGATTTCTGTTTTTTATATCAATTCTCGGTGCTGGAGTTAGGGAATTGCATGCTTGAGCTTGGTTTGTTCTTGAGTTTGAATCTGATAAGATATAGATCTACTTGAATTGTGGTTTACTTGCGTCTGTGAGCTCTCTCCATCATGAAAGATTGACTCAGTTGTCGACAGTGTTGTTTCTCATATTTGTTTGAGTCGAAATTAACAGTAACTGATCAGGTTTATGATCTGTAAATTTCTTGGATCATAAAGACTGAATTTTGCTGGCTAAGTGTTCTGGTCATCACAAATCAACAAGCAATGCAGTTTCTAGGTAGTATCCTACGAGCAACTATGGAGTGTATGCATCACTTGATAGAAATTGTATAGTGAAAGTGTGAAACCAAAGGAGTTTAAGTCTGAGTTGAAATTCATTGTCTGTAATGCTGGTTGCTCATTTCTATCGACAGGTTTCTTGATAAGCTTAGTTTTATCACAACCAAAAGATTGATCCTTTTTTTTTTACTTGTTTCTTTTCTTTTGCAGGACCCAGCAATGCTTCTTCTGCCGGTGAGTTAACTGTAAATGGCATTTCTTGAACTGCAATAAGTTTGGTAATTGAGTCTTTAGTATTAAACATCTTGCTTTTGACGTGTAGATTGTGCAAAGCACGATCCAGACGTGAACGAAGACACAGAGAAGAATTATGCCGAACTTTTAACCGAGGAACTGAAGCTGCGTGAAGCAGAGTCTTTAGAGAAACACAAACGAGCAGACATGGGGCTATTAGAGGCCAAGAAAGTAACTTCATCGTACCAGAAGGAAGCAGACAAATGCAACTCGGGTATGGAAACATGCGAAGAAGCTCGAGAAAAAGCGGAATTAGCACTCGCCGAGCAGAGAAAGCTAACATCTAAATGGGAAGAGAGAGCTCGTCAAAAAGGATGGAGAGAAGGAGCCACCAAATCAAATGTTAAAACTTAAAACCAAAAGCAATGTTCAGGCTGCTTAGATAATAAACCCCATGGATTTGCAAACCACTTGTGTAATTGTAAATTGGATTCTAATCCGGTTATTAAAATTCGGTTCAGATTTGGGTTGGATGGGCCAGATTTCTTATAGGGCCAAAATCCCATAAATTGGTCCAGTACTACAGTCATGGTCGGCAACATCAGAAAAAATCAATATCA